TTGTTGACAACATTTCATACATTTTCGGGGAAAATGAGACGATAGAAATGCGTGAAACAAGGCGAATTCACATGTGTTTTTTTACTCATGCTACCACCTTGTGTGAATTCGCCTTGATACAATGCAATTTGTACATATACATATGTACATACATACATACTGCTATAGCTTGAAGAAATCCGAACTGTTTTTGGGTTCGTTAGTTATTTGTTGGTGGGTACAACAAAACTTCAAACAAAAAGTTTGACATTGAAAAAACACACAATATAAATTTAAAAAAAAACTTGAAAGTATTTTGGTAAAAAATCCTGCTAATACAAAAAATATATTACTTATTGGCTCCACAACTAGGATCGAAGTACTCTCCAGCAGCATTTAAACTTAGTCCAACTACATCTACGGATGTTTAAAGTTTTTCGAATTTTTCAACAATTCTAAATGGCCAGAGAAGGTAATTTTAGATTAATAATTTGAAAAAGAATTTTATTTTATACCGTTATTCCGAGATTATTGAAAAAATTAAATAAAACTTATTTGATTAACAGCCGGTTTCACCAGGAATTTATGTGAAAAATGATTTTTTATTTTCTGTCAATGTGCACATAAAATACAAAAAATTAAAATAATTTTTCACTTAAATTGCTTTCGTGAAATTGGCTGTTAGCATATTTAAGAGCATACTTTGGCAATTTATCGAGCTTTTTATAGCGCTTATTTTCTTTTTTTCTGGCATAATTTTGCCAGCCCTGGTGATCATTGAAGAAGCCGAAGGATTGATTAAAGTCGTTGTGTATGCCAGCTTGCTGTTTACTTTTGTCTTAGCCTGTTTTATTGCACGCTTTATTGTCACTTGGTACTCCTGGGTCCTCAATACAAAATACTCCTGCTCTGTTGGAAATGCTAACAACCAAAATGAATACATCGGAAGATCGTACATGCACAATATGGATGTATTTAATTGTAAATCTTTTATTTGTAAACAAATATAAAATCAAGTTCAAGGGTGTATTGTGTGCATGCCCATCTTGCATGCTTATCACTGGACAATTAGAAGTGTGTCTAGCGGCTTATCAAGCGATTAATTACGTTTGCTATTGGGCACACCTCACATCATTTTTACACACACACATGGACATAAATATACATATACATATGTACGTGCATAAACAAGTGTTCTAATAGCTAATTTCTTTGTAATTGTTTACATAAAAGTAGGTAAACATATGTGTATATACAAATATATATTTGAAAGGTTGCTTTTTGAATGGCCAGTCAAAACTGATAAAAATTATTCATACATTATTTTGTAGATATACATATATGTATATTAGACCTGGTCGGTCGTCAAACAAAAGAAAATAAAAGTGTAATTACCACGTAGATCGCATGAATTTTGGGGATATAAACAATTTGGTCCTTTCGTTCCAACCCAGCTAAAATCAAGTTTTCTTCTTAATTTTTTTTTTATTTCTGACCGGATTTTAAAACGTGATAAATTATCGAAAATGTGTTCTTGAGAGGCGTACAACCTTTAAGGCAAAAGAGAATTTACGTTTTTAATTTTGTTCCAACTAAAATTTTATTTAGGCCGGCGGAAATTGAAATAATTGTTTTATACTGGTCGAAAGAGGCTGACATTGTCGGTGGTTGATGTGCTGAGTTCAAAAACTCTAATTAGCGCTTTTACGTGCTCCTTTAAAATGACAACTCATAATTTAACTTGTTAGATCGTAGAAGGAGGGTTAATCTAGAAAACTAATTTTAGTCCTGCAGAGTGCTGAACTATTACAGAGCAGATGCTCCACGGTTTCTTCTCATTCTTCTTATTTGACACTACAACCATTTGTCGGTTTGGGCCGAGACCAAAAAATTTCGCCAATTGCTTCTCTTTCTTGCGAATCTTCGGCAGTTCTTCATCCCGAGTGAAGAGAGGTCCTTCTGCACTTGGCACGTCCATTTTGTTCGAGGGCGCCCTTCCTTTCGTTGTCCACCCATGGGTGTCGAGTCGAAGGGTCTTTTTACTGGAGCGTTGTTATTCAAGCGTACAACGTGCCCAAGCCAGTGCAATCGTCATATTTTTATGCGCTTAACTACTATGTTCATATCGTTAAAAAGCTCGTACAGTTCGTCATTCCATCCTTTTCCGTACTCGTCGCCGTCGACACAATATCGCTCTGTTCAGTTTGATGAAAAATTCAGTGCATTTTGCGCGAAATTTTATTTTGTGCCCCAATCTAATACATACATACATACAAATTTAGGTGTTTGTTTTGGTTCCATATCATTACTGCACCGCATGGACTCTCTCTCTATAAACAAAGCACTTGAACTCATACACCAAATTGCATACACATACATATTAAGTATCTATCATTATAGCTTTGAATGGCACACTATGCGAAATTTAAATAGAGCCAGTGGAAAAAAAGTCCGAATGTCTTGAAAAAAGTATCTACAAATTTACAAATGTTCCTGCAAAAATCCATTTTTT